TGGGGCTAGTTTTGGAATGCAGGTGTGCAAGTCCTGAGATCTGAGTGGGCTTTTTGCAGGGGTGGCAATATATCAATCAAGGTGGTTCCTCTAACAAAATGCAATTAGAAGAACCCTGCCATGACGTGGCTGTCTGCTTTGAGTGGCAGCATGAGAAGGTGCCTCTTAGTGTGCATGTCATTTACTTTTACATGAACATTAATATGACATAAAATTGATTTTTGATGGCTGAAGGTATCCTGGTCTCAAATGGTCTCATCTGGAAACGCCAGAGACATTTCGGAATTGGAACTCTCCGAAAACTGGGAATGGGGAATAAAGGAATGGAGCGTGGGATACAAACTGAAGCCCATTATCTGGTTGAGTTCTTCAGGGACAAAGATGGTATGGCATTGCTGCGGTGCTTGGGAGCTGCATTTGGGCTTTTGACATTTTGCAAACAAAAAAACAAGGCTGGGAGTTAAGAGACTTGAGGCCTTCCTCTCCTCATTTTTGAAGGAGGGAAAAAGTAATCTTTTTACGTTTGCCAGTGAATTTTGGGTGTTTTCAGTGTAAGTCTAAATGGCCTAGAGGACGTCTGTTATAAAATGTCACTGTATCTTGCTTCCAAAATAGCAAAGGAGGTACAGTGTGTGCTGTGGAGCTGAATGCTTACCTCTCTCTGCAGGAAGAGCTGTCGACCCTTCCTTCCCCATTGTTCATGCTGTCTCCAATGTCATCTGTGCTGTGGTGTTTGGACGCCGTTTCTTCCTGGAGGATGAAACCTTCTGCCAGCTGCTGGAAGCATTCAGTTGCGTGGTGGCTTTTGGGAACAGCCATTTTTACTATGTGAGAAAACGATTTCTTCAATATGCAAATTATTTGACTATTGAACACATTTATTGCACTATTATGCAATATAACATTATCATAGTTATCGCATTATTTAATACACATGAAATGCTGATAAAAATTCTGACAACGAATATGAACTGGACCTACAGTGCTTTGGGTTTGACATCATTCAGCTGTTACATTAGTGTTATATCAATAACCATTAGTAGACTTTCTCATCAGAGGTGATGTGCTTGGGAGGCTGAAATTTTCTGTAGTGGAAATGGCGGTGAAAAGGTGACACTTTGTATCAGAATAAAAGAGTGATTTCTTGTGTGTGTGCCCTAAGGAAATTATATATAAACATTTCTTAATATTGAATTTATTAATATTAATGCACATTAAATCTCTATGCAAAAGTGGATTCTTTTGTTGGTGAATGAACAGGGCAGAAGGCAGTAGAGTTTATACAGTAAGGACAGGAAAGAATCCAGGGTGGAAACTGTATTGTCGTTGATTTGTGTTTTTAACGTGTGCTCATGTACTCAATGTGTACCCAACACTTCTCTTTGATGCCACAGTACTTTTCCTAGAGACATTAATTCAGCATTTTAGCACCAAAAATTCCCGTGCTGTATCTCTCTAACAGCTGTGCTCATGTCATGTGACTTACCCCATCTCTGTTGAATACTTGCTCCACAGGTGTGTGAGACTTTCCCATGGGTTGCAGAGCACCTCCCAGGACCTTCACAAAAAGCATCCTCTTCCTGTGAGTTTGTTCGATGTTTCATAAGGGACGAAATCAAAAGGCACAGGGAAAGAGGCATGATAGCTGAACCAGAAGATTTCATTGCCTTTTACCTGGATCAGATTGAGAAAGTGAGTGATTTGTGCTGTATGCTACCATAACAGGTTCCCTGCATCTTTCCTACCATTGTCTGTACACAGTGACATTATTACAGAGCTCTACAGATACAGTTTAACCACTGCTCTCAAATTAAACTATGAACTTTGGATAGTTAAATAACTTATTTTAAAAGTATGAACTAATTACATGGATTTGTTGTTATCCTGTGGAATCCTCAGTGCAAGCTGGCAGTGGGTGGTAGGGAGGAGGACTTTCAGAGGGTGAAGATATATTTGGAAGGCTAATTCTGATTCTTTGTTCTTATTAACATTTGCATTTATTACCTTTGTGCTTTGTACGGAGCTCTTGCGTGCTTGGTAGTACTGTATGATTGTAACAATCTTAAAATGATGGCAGTTTCTGCTCTGAAAAAAAACATGAATCTTTTAAAAGGATAACATTATATATGTAATAGCTGAAATCAGCAAATGTGCACACAGTGTCAATGGTAGGATAAAACTATGCTGAATTTTTTTTTTTCTCATGTGGAAGTTAACAGCAAGGCAGCAAGTCACTCTAGAAGGTAACATAAAAGGACCTTAAACACCTGGTGCTTTCAACAGCACTTGTAATTTATCAGTATCAATGTACTTATCTGAGGAAAATCTTTGCATAATTCTTTGTTTTACTCAAGTATCTGTATTTTCTCTGTCCTCTAGAAATACTGTTTATTTAGGTATAGTGATCGCTGTCTGTCCCAGTGCTAACTGTGACACAGGTACACCCCCTTTTACCTTTCTTGTTGACAACTGTAGACTAAAAATATCCCCAATTCTACATTTGATGAAGACAACATGGTGCAGTCTGTTTTTGACCTTTTCCTCAGTGGCTCAGAGACCACTGCTACCAGTCTGCGTTGGGCTCTGCTCTATATGGTCGCTTACCCTGATGTTCAAGGTGAGTTGTTAACATGAACATGGTTATGTTTGAAGTAGAACAATTCTCTGTTACACCTGTTTGATTTTTTTGGTTGAGATCAAGTTTTTTTGATGACTAAGATTTTTTTTTTTTTTTAAGATCACATTTTTGAGCTTTGTTTTTAAGAAGCTGGTGAATGGAAAATTTTCAGGCAGAGATTTTTAAAATAATTTCCAATACTTTGTTTTGACTTGTTAATTTTTGTCAGGCTGTTTCAATACTTTGAGCATATAATGGAAGATATAGTCCTGCTG